CGAGCGAACCTCAGAATCCGGATTTCTCAAGAAGTTGTTTTCTTCCAATCTAGGATTACTTTTGGTTCTCTATAAATACTTGGTTTTCTCCAAAACTAGGTGATTGTTGAAGTCCTCCAGATCTTCTTTTTGGTTCTTAGGTTTATATCTGGGGATTTTTATTTATTTTTTTTTATGTTTTTATTGAGTCTTCAACTCATGATTTAAAGAGAGTACATCAAAGGTTTGTTTGTTATACACAAAAGGAGAGTTATTCTTCAGTTGGGATTCTGAAGAATTCGAGCCTGAAGCTTTGGTGGAATCCGGAGTGGCTCATCAGAAAGACAATTCCGTGGTGAAGATGGGGTTGGAAGAGGCACATAGAGGTTGGTTCAATTAGGCGTTGTGGATTCGCTAGGTAATTGAGAGTATACCTGTGTAATTCCTTTAAATCTTCTTAGTGGATTGTTCTTGTGGCTGTTGCCCGTGGTTTTTTGATCACAGTTTGGAGGTGTCCAATTGTGGTTTTTTCCACGTTAATCGTTGTGTTTTTTTGTCTTGATTGTTTGATTGGGATTGTTATTTCTGCTTAAAATTGATACATAATCACAAATCAAAATCTAGGGGATTTCTAGATTTTTCAGGTGTTTATAATAACAGAAGAAACACTATTCTTCATTCATAATTATTATTATGAACAAGCCTGAGATTTTTTTTTCCAGTCAACTAAAAAAATTCATTTTGAAAAGAATTCTTCAAATTATCATATTTAATATCCAATATTAATCGCAATTCTTTTGCAAATTTATTCTCATGTACAAGAGCCAAAAACGGGCAGGAACCTTCTCTGTGATAAATATTCAACATTTGATACTCAATTCATTTGACATTGCATACTTTGCATGGTTGTTTATTTAATGAGATTGAAGACCTTTTATTGAAATGTACATTCTTTGCATTATATGGTGGGTTTTGTTGCTTTTGTCAGTTTGAATGTAAGTGTTGTTGCTAACAACCATTTTTACTTTATTGTTTCATTTCATTTTTATTTCATAATTCTTTTTCTTTGTTTTTAATAAAGTAAATTAGTAATGTGAGATTTATTTTTGCTTCTTGTTAATCTAGAACTGATGTTGTGGAATGACCATCTGTGATCCAATTTAGTGAATGCAAGTTGCTAAAAACATCTAATAGCAAACAAGAAATGTTACCAAAAGCTAATTATCAAATATGAAAGGCTTAAAAAACTAAGCTTGTGGGTTTGGTCTAGCTTTTAGATGTGAAATTCCCTCGCTATGTAATTTGCACCATCTTGCTGATTAATTTTCTCTTTGAATTTTGAATGATTTAATTTGCATGCATGCGCTATGTTTGAACTGCATAAAACACAATGATTTGAATCTAACCCTCGTAAGAATTTGCTTGTAGGTATGTTCTCTATTTCCTCTTTTCAAGTAGATGATTAGCTACTTATCTTATCTCCAATCCATGCAAATA